GCTATATATCTGAGTGCACTTACGTTTTTAAAGATTATTCCTCATCAAAAAAATCAGCAAGGATTTTTAGGTATTATTTCGTTATTTTTTGTAATTAAGTTCTAAATAAAAATTATTTATCCAAAATTAATTTCTCTTTTAATATTGAAAAATATTTAAACTGCTAATTATTAGATTTGAATTATAGCTTCTATAAAGTTAGTTTTGATAGTTTCTCTGAAGTGATTAAGAATTGAATTAAAAATTTAGATTTGATAGTTTAATTTCTACATGTTTTTACTTTTATAACTATATCAAAATTCTAAATATTTATTGATAATTTCATTTATATGCATTTAATATCTTCATAAGATTTGAACTCTAGGATTTTTCATAAAATTATACTAAGTATTTCAGCAGTTCTAAGGCAAATAACTAACATTGTTATTTTAGTTTTTTAGATTATCATTTTTTGGTAATCTAACAGTTTTTAAATTTTATTAAATATACTTATTTTGTGATCAAGAAATATACCTCTTTATTTTTAAGCTTTTAGGTTTAGACAATAGACTTATTTAAACTTAAAATAATAATCAGAGTGAGGAGAGAAACCAAAAATAACTCCTTGGATTCATCAAAGTATAAATTCTCAACCTTATTTCCCAAATCATATAATATCTTTACTAGCAATATAAACTAGCCAAAAAATTTCAATATTTTCGTTTATTTAACATACAATATTTTAAATTTATTAAGTATCCCGTATTGTAGGTTAATAGTGCTTGTCTCAAAATTATGGAATAGAGATGGTAATATTAATATGATATATAAAATGTAATATTTTATTCCTTCAGTAGATAAATCAACATTATTTTCATCATAAAAACTCTTCGTATTTTATTGTTCAAACTGTATTTTTTGATACTTTTGAAAAGAAGAATTAAGCTAATAGAAATTTATCAGACTCTAACTTCCAACTCTTAATTAATTTTAAGTTATGCCAACTTCATTGTTTCCTTTGGTTGTACGCTAGGTCAATATATTATCATATCTATGAACATTTTTCTCCTCTTCTTTTCTGACATGGAAGTTTCTTACCTATTTAGAATAAGAAAGAGTATAAGGTTTCATTTTTTCGTATATACTTTACAGGAGAAATCTTTAATTCTAATTAATTCAAAGGGAATGAGTGCTATTTTAACCTCCTTAAGAGTAAATGAGGATGGAGTAGTTAATTTAATTTAAAAGCTTATGAAATTTCTGAGTAATAAAGGGATGCTACAACTTCCTAACTACTTGGGATGGTTGGTCGAGATGAAATTCATACTCTAGATATTAAGATTAAGAGTCAGAATACCGCTCTAGTTTATTATTCAGGGTTAAATTAATAAGTATTTAAATATTTATTAAATACAAGCTTTTGGAATAAATTCACGACCATATCATTACAATTTAATTGCATACAAAAGATTTAACTTCTACATAATATGCTGATCAATAATTATATCAAGACTAAGAGATAATCAAATATCAATAGAATTAAGATTTTGAGTTTATCTTATAATATCAATTGAATAATTCCATTATGAATATATGATTGTTTCATAATTAGCTGATGAACCAAAGAGAGATGGTATTCTATATTATTATTTCCTAAAATCAGGAGAAATTATTTTTTGAGATATCTACATATAGCTAAGGAGGTAATGTCTATAAAGAGTATTATAAGGGATTGAATTGGGCATTTACTTTATGTAATGTTTGACTGATAAAGGAATAATTAGTTACTTAAAAACGACTTAGGTTGTAGGATAATGAACGAAATCATATCATGCTTAGATATCAATTTTTAATTTATAATATAATAATGTTAATTATTATTGATATCTAATTATGGGAGTTACTAACATTATGAAAAGATAATACAATCATGACTCTATTAAACTAAAAAAAGTGATTCTATCAGGACTCCACTTAAAATTGTAATTAGAATTTAAAAACGCTAAATCTTAACATTTTGATATTCTGAAAAATGCAGAATAACCCATTTGAAATGACGCGAGATATTATCCGTGTTTTTTGTGCTAAGAGCTCAATGCACTTTACGATAATCAAAAAATCAACTATTTGAAATTGACTATATCTATAATATACTCATTTCAACCTATTTAGATGAGGTAAGATTCCATGAATGTTGAGTAATAATAAACGAAAAGATGTTATATCATAGGAGGATAGTTCTTATTATTTCTAGGATAAATTTATTTGAACCCTATGAATCCATACCGAAACTATGCGCCTCGTGCTCTAAGATAGTCTTCAACCTATCAGGCTTAGCCACTTCGAAGGAATATGAGAAAATACAGTCGAAGTTTGATTTTTACGCTGCATCTATTTTTAATTCAATCCTGATTCTAGATTAGAGTTCAGTTATTAAATCCAACTTAATCTCTTTCCTTTGTCAGACTTGATCTCTCAGTGAAAATATTAACTCATCTTGTTATGTCGATCATCCAGGTTGTGAGGATGATCGACATAACAAGATGAGGAAAAATTTTCACGACTCCTCATG